CCTTGCACGCTGTGTTGGTTTCAGTCTTATTTTATTTTCTTGTCATAGTGCCCAGCAAGCCATGAATTGGGTTTTATAAATTACTGTCTCATGTGACACAGTTTTCAGAGACTTGATCTGCCCATCCTCTTTCTAGTTCCCAGAAAAATTATTTGCATCAAAGCCAAATAAACCCCACAAACCCAAAAACCAACTAAGACTACAGTGTCATCATGAGCACAGGCAAAGGCTACACCTGCAGTTACACAAATCAAGGAAACACTACTTTGGAAAATTGCATCAAGACATCAGCTGTGTACTGCATTTACCAGATTTTCACTGAATAAGCAGTTAGAATTCTCTAACAAGCTACCTCCAAATGAAAATTACTATAGAAGTATTTACAGGTTCTTCCCAACAAGAGCCTTCTAAGAACAAACCTCTTAAGATGAGCACCTCAAATGATTCAAATCAAGATCCAAATGCACATTATTAGTTAAGTACTTTATTAGAGACTGAAAATCTCCATAAACACCATACTGTCTTTCTGAGCCATGCAGCCTTTCAGGAACAGCAACTCCCCAGCCGCTTGCTCATCAGCCATTGTAAAACTCCAGTGGCTAATCCTGTGCTGACAAGGCATAAAATCTAACAGATCATTAAACATGCTCAGCAAGGCAACACCCAGTTAAAGGCACATCCAGGAAAAAGAAAAGGGTACAGGAAAGGGTGTACCAGATTGGCACTCATTTCCTCATACAAATATACTCCAGGGATGACATTCTGCACTCAACATGGTCTATTGCCAGGTCTGCTCATGGCTGTCATGTCCATTCATCTCCAGCCTGAGCCATGCCCAGCTCCTTGCTGCTCAGGACACTGATTCTCCATAATGATGTTTTTCCAGGAATTCCCTTTGCAGAGTACAGCTTTGCCCATACATGACAACAAAATGCATAACTACGCATTTGACCTCCCAGTCTTGCTCCCACATGGCTTGAGGTGTCCACAATGTCAACGTAAGATTTATTGAAATACACAAGGTGAGGTTTACATTTATTCCTTATTCTGCTCAACTGAATAAAGGGGCAGATGGCAACTAGTTTCTGAAGCACAACACGTCCCAGACAGAAATTGACGGGGAAAAGTAAAGATTCAGTTCTAACTACATAGGAAGCACAACCTGTACTCCTTCACGTAATGTACATTCATTATCTACACCTACCCATGTCTGAAGGAAACTTCCTGGCTCTGAATCAGCCAACACCAAGGATGAAGCAGAAACAACATTCAAAAACTGCTGTTCCCCACTGGTCATTCTAAGGGACTCCCACAGTCACAGTGAACCATGGGGCTGCAATGCTGAGTTCCATCATGGAAGGGAGGAGAGGGCAGAGACCAAGATCTGTTCTGTGAGAACTCTGTTTGGTCATCCTTAAGTTAGATTTGAAATTAGAGGGACTTTTTTTTTCTCGGTCCTTTGCCTTTTGTCCTAAAATCCTATCCTTACAGTTAAGCAAAAATGAGCAACCAGCAGCAGGAAACAGTCTTGAAGAAGGAAGGAAGCATCTATGCAAATATCTTGTGACTGCAGGGGACATAGAACCACAACATCATGATCTGAAGGCTACACAAACTGCTTTTGCAAGACGTTTGCTGTATCATTTCATGAACCTTCTTCCTGGAGGGAGGCCATCTCCTGTCTTTATTTTCCACACACAGCTGCCTGCATGCAAATATAAATGAACTTCTTAAGCCTGATTCTTGCTGCACACAAACATAAATACAGTGTCTTCAATGAAGCAGGATGGGCTCAAGGCATTGTTTACAGAGTATGGTATTTGTCAAGTACCTGCAAGTTTTCCTACAGAGCTGCAATTGAGCCCATGCTAAAGAAGAGCCAATACTGAGTGTAAGCAGCTTCTAGCACAGCAAGAAGGACCTGCCAGCCCTAAGCAATGCCTTTGTTTCCCAGGGCATCCCATCTCACGTTATGATTTCTATGAAAAACAGGAAGATGACATGTTGTACTCAGGAGCAGAAAACAATCACCTGAGAGTAATCAGTGAGTAATAAGCGAACTTTCAAAGCAGCAGCACAGAGGGCATTGGGGGAGGGAAAGGGAAGCCATGAAGTAGTCCCGGCATTAATGCAGGATGTAACATGGGCAGCAAAGTGCTCCTGTGGGCCACACTGAGGAGCCTGCTCAGAAGGCTCACTGAGAATGGAGCAGACGTATGGTGCTGCACACTCTGAAGACCACACTCATTAGGATTCTTAGCAGCAGAAAAAACTGTCTGAACTGTCCCCATCCCTTCCTGGTTGCTCATTTCCACTGCCCTGGGTATCTATCTCCCCACACAGGCCAGTGCCACAGTTTCTGCAGTCATAAAGCCAAACATGATCAGAAACAAAACAAAAAAAAACATCGGAAAGAAACTATCCAAACAATTCCTTCACTACCACTGGGAAAGCCACTGTCACTGCTTTACTTTGGATTAGAACTAAGAAAACATAGCTGCTCAGCATGTACAGTACCCATCTCAGGTGTGAACATCTTGTTACTATATCACACAGTCCTAGCAAGTACAGTTTGAGTAAGTAAATATTGCCAGTGTGAATGTGAAAGCTGCTTCAAATTACTTTAAGCGCTCACATTTCTTTTCAGAATACTGATCATCTCAGTTTTCCACCCAAAGAAACCCAATTCTTTTTCTCCCTGAAGTTATTTAATCCTTGAGATGAACCATGGACAGAGAAGAAGATGGAAAAAGAAAAAAAAAAAAAAGCTCTACTTACATCTGAATTTAATTCCAAAGGTTAGTTGCTTTCAGAAGAGGTCCTATCAGCCACTTCTCTACACAGAGATCACACACAGCTAGACCAGACACGGATTTGCAGTCTACCCTGCAAGAAGGACAATAAACGTTTCCCTCCCAGTGGCCACTAGACATGCTAAACACGTAGCTGGTCTGTAAGCAAGTCTAGACCCAACAAGATAGGTTGAATTCAGTGACATACAATAAACCAAAAAGCTCCTAAAGGTTTAGCTCCCCTCATGAGGTCCCAAAAATCAGGTGTTCTGCCTCAGTTTCTCAGGCGGTCCAATCTGCAGGAAGTATCTAAATGATGTCATTTATTCCCACCAGTACCTCATTTTTGAGAAAGGCAGGATGTTAGGACACTACTTTTCCCAGATCATCTGGAGACTCACACTAGCAACTCCTGCCCAGTGAATGAGTCTGGACAAGCATCCCATGGAGGCAGAGGAGTGGCAGCACGGGGCTCCAGCCTGTCCAGCATAAGGCAAGTGCTGCAGCATTGAACTCACAAGCTTCCAAGCCTCTTGTTAGATTTAGCCTTGAATTACCAAAACCATAAAGAGAAAAAGCTGTATCGCATACATGCAGAGATCAGGAAACCACTGCCCATTAACCTGAGAAGCACAGCTCAGGGCTCTCAGCAAGCCATTCCTTGGGATGTGCTCCTATCCTACACATGCTGGTAGATGGAAAATAAAAACAACAAATGGAAAAGTAAATGACTACTTTGATCTGAAGAGGCAAAAAGCTGCTACTGTGGATTCTTAAATTCTATTAAGTAGATTGCTACAGGGTGGACAAGCTAAAAAGCAGTCCGTTTAGATCTGGTACATACTTTCAGGATTATCTACTAAAGCATCATTATCGCAAAACAGATAATGGGCATTCCCCAACTTCTCTCCTAAACTCAATTGTTAAAAACCTCTGAGGAAGATGGAGTTGAGAGAGCCATTTGTAAGATTTTTTTTTTTCCAAGATAACTTTCACAGTAAAATATTGCTTAATATTTACTGTATAGGCCTTCAGCTGTATCAGTACCAGAATGTAGTTTCCAGTTAAATATTAAGTTCCCGTGTGGAAGAGAATAAATATACAGTACTGAAGGGTTTGTACAATTTTGTGTTGTAACTCAAAGCCAGATGTGTCCTATAAGACCATGACATGATGTTAAAAATGTGAGCTGTATTGCAAATACACCAGTGGCTGACTTCTGCAACCACGGACTCATACACCGCCAGGCTGGAAGCGACCTTAAGGATCATCTGGTCCAACTGTTTGTGTCAAAAGCACAGGCTAGATGAGACGTCATAGCTCCCTGTCCAGCTGAATCCTTAAAGTATTCAATGCCAGGGAATCCACCACTTCCCTGGGGAGATTATTCCAGTGGCTCCTTGTTCTCATGGTGAAAATAATTCCTATTCAGATTTGTTTAATGGCTTAATCAGTGATAAAAGTAGAGCTATGCTGTAAAAAAGGTGACTAGTCATGTCTTGAGAGGCATACTGCGTTCAGTGTGGGACGGGTAACAGGCGTGTTGAAGCCCGGAGACAAGGGCATTACAGGTGCCCACGCGCTTGCCCATGGAGGGCTCCATGGATGGGGACAGGAGCGTTCTTCCAGCTGACAGACCAGGGGAGAAACAGAAATCAGTTTTCCGCACGTCCTCAGGTTACTTCCATGGACACCTCTGGGAGAGGCCCAGCATCCGCACTCATCCTGACCAGCTCCGTGCAGGTGACACGGGTGCCCGTTTGCCAGCAGGGCTGAGTCCCGAGGCCGGCCCGGGTGGGTGAGCACACACTGTGTTAACACAGGGCTTCGTGAGCCAAACCCCCATGGCCCCTGCCACAAGCGGGCCGCTGCCATCAAGTACGGAGGGCTTCAGGCGCCAGCAGTGAGGACCCTGGCTTCCGCGTGCACCCGCCGAGGCACCCTCAGCGCCCCACCGTCACTCGCTGCCTATGTTCCGCGCAGGTTAGAACGGAAAACGCTTGTCTGACACGCACACAGTGAATGTGCCCCGCCCTCACCGCTCAGGTAGCGACAGGCGCTCACCTCCCGCGCCCGGAGCCGTTTCACTTCCCTCAGCCGCAGCGGGGGTGTGCGGAGGGCGGGATTAAACACAGCCCTTTTCCTCCAGGCGGTTACGCTTCCCCCGACAGGAGCTTCTCACCGCCGCGAGGAAGAACCCGACCCAGCCGGCGCTGTGCGCTGAGGAGCCCCGCAGGAAGCTGCCGGGCGCCACAGCCGCTCGTCAGCGGGTGCCGAGCGGCCGGACCGGCTCCGCTAAGTGCGGGCCGGGGGGGGGAGCCTGGCCCCACCCGCCCCGCCCCGCCCCGCGCGGCGAGCCGAGCCCAGCCGAGTTCAGCCGTGCCCGTCCGCACCCCGGCAGGGTCCCCTCACGATGCGGAGCGGCGCAGGCGGCTGCCGCCTGAGGGGGAGCCGAAGGTGGCCGCAGAGCACGCCGAGGAGGAGTGCGGAGGGGCGGTGGCTGCAGCAGGTGGGTTCTTGGGCGAGGAGGGGCCGGCCCGGGGGAGGACTCGCGGCGGGAGCTGCTCCCAGCCCGGGCACCAGTCAGAGCGTCCCTCTTCCGCCGGCTCCCTCTGGCCGGAGGGACACGCTCTGTCCCTGAGGCCGGCGGGGGATTCCGGGGGACGGGAAGGCGCTGACAGCCCGTGGCTGCCGGAAGGAGGGTGCAGGGGGGACGGCAGGCACGGGTTCTGTCCGCGCCGTTCTGCAGCGGGATTAACGCCGCTTCTGCTGCTCTGCCCGGGGCTTCGCACAGCCGACGAAAGGCCTGACCTGTGCACAGGTGACTTTGCGTTATGATAATAATAACATTACAAACGGATTTGAGTGATCGCTTACATAGCATGACCCTGGTCCGTGTGCAGGTTGCCTCCTTTCTGCATACGCAAGTGCAGCATCCAGTATATGAAAGGGAAAACAGAAGTCTGGTTTAAGTTGCAGTGTAAAATGTGTTCGGTTTAGACGGTGAAATGTGCAGATGAAGAGTGAAGCAGCAAGCCCTTGTAACTGAGCGCAGTGGGTGCTTCTCGAGTTGTACTGCCAAGTACTTGGGGTTGTTATAACTCCGCTTTTCAGGAGACACTGACTCAATGTTCACCAGTTCTGGCAAGCTGGTAATGAAATGTAGGTGTCTGTTTAAATACAAGTGCATCACTGTTAACAGAGATCCTGGCTCTTGGCTTCTCAGCTTCTCAGCTTTCCTCTGCTGTTGCTGAGAATGCTGGCACCATCCTGCTTCTCTAGTAAAGAGAAGAAAGCACATACAGCTTTGTCTAATATGTCTTGCTGATGTACACGAAGCAATCCTGTGTTCATTTTCCTTAGGAATGAAAACACAGAAGAGTTATCATAAGGAAGTCCAAGTGGAAAACATCTGTTCTGAGGTGTCTATCACAGTAGATCATACGTTGCTGAAGGACGAACAAAAAAGCCCAATCAACTAATGAAGTGTGTGTGTGCTTTGGATCTGAAAAAAACCGATGATTTGGGTTGATGCTTTTTCTGCTTTCAGGATATTTCTGCAGTCTGTGTTCCAGAGCCCTGAAACACCCATCCCTCTGCCTGGATGGGCAGAAAGACCCCCCATGCTTTGTAAAGGAAAGGAACACAGACTTACTTTCTAAACCTTTCCTTAGGAAAGTAGCTAAAAAGTAACTTAGATCTATGTTGACCTTTTAACTCTTGAGAATATATATCTGAAAAACATAAAATTTAGGCAGGACAACTTAATGATGTGTCACTGGGCCTATTTACTCTTAATTAAGGAGCCTGGAAAATTCAGATGTAAATGTGGTAGTTGCTGTGATGGAGAATTAATTAATTGGTAGAAGTACCCAGAAATAAGTTTTTACAAGCCTCTTTTTGACTTCCCAGTTATGAAGCACTGTGCCCTGTGATAATTCCTTTGCTGGTCGCACCACTGGAGGATGGCTGCCATACTCTGTGAAAATTGCCCTGGTCAGCACCCCTACACCCAGGTCAACCAGCCGCTGGAGATCAACTGCATGCTGCTTTTGATTATGTTTGGAAAAGTGTTCCTTGATTTCTTCATGTTGCAAGTTAAGAAAACAACCGTGAAAGTCAGTTTTATGGGATACTTCTGTGTTTCACTGGCGCTTCTTGATTTCACACTGCTGATGAGTATCTCCTTCATTTTTTATTTTGAAGACTTTGCGCTTTGGGGTGTGCGATTTACAAAGTACCACATTTGCCTGTTCACTCAGGTGATTTCTCTTACCTATGGTATTCTTCATTACCCAGTGTATCTTGTGGCTGGCCTGGATTATTATATTACTATAGCCCAAACTTCTCAGGTGCCTAAAAGAGGTCAAAGATTACTTTATGTGTTTGCTGTGGTCACTATATGGCTTTCAGGGTTTTTTTGTATTCTGAAAGTTCCCACTATCTATGAAGAACTAGACACTCAGAACCATTTTTCTCCTTATCGGTGTCCCCTCTATGCCAGCCTGCAGAGTTACTCAGTCTCCTGTGCCATGATGCTGCTTACAGGCACAGCTCTCCTGGCCTGTTGGAAGGAAGTTACAACCATGCTGCTATCTGTCAGGCTAATATCCTTTGCCAGTCAGCCTGTTCTGATGTTCTCTTATGTGTCCAACAACAACAGCGCTTACTTTAGGTGGCAGCTCCTGACCAGACTCCTTATCTGTTTTCTTGGCACTTGGGCACCTTTTGTTGTTCTTCAAATCATCATTTTGTTTCTCGGTGCTCAGATTCCAGCCTACATGGAGATGAATGTCCCCTGGCTGTACTTCATCAACAGCTTTCTCATCGCGGTAGCATACTGGTGTCGGTGTCACGATGTTGAAATGACAGAGGAGATGTGGTCTACAGATCCATTTGTCAGCTGGAAATTCTGCTTTATCCCATTTAACAATGAAAGCACAGAGACAGCTGATAAACCAGGCACAGTGATTGTAATCTGCTAATGAGCTGCTGACTGAAAAGACTGCAAATAAGTGCTGTGCAATAGGAGAGTGTCCTCACAGATAATACAGGAAACATCTCCAGAGCAACAACCAATGTAGGAAAGTCCAGGACCCACCACCATTGCACCAGAGCCTGGGACACACCGGGTTCCAGTGGGCAGGGAACGCCTGCCAGTTCAGAGAATTTGACTTGAATGTATGGGTTTGAGGAGACCACTACTTGTAAGAAACAAATTTTCGATAAGCCTCATGTTTATGAGTAGGATTTCACACTTCCTGTAACTGGAATGAGCTCAGGTTTTGTAGTACAGAATGCAATAAAGCCTTCTTTAAAGCTGGGGCCCTTATATCCACGTTATATCCCCATGCTAACCTACTGTCAAAGCTTCAAACAACTGCTGTGAGTTTTTGAAGCGTATTTTCTTGTTAAAGTGTGACTTATTGTCAGTTTGATTGAAGTTAAGGGTTGTTGTCTGTTTAAAGATAAATAAATTGTTTCAGTTAATGTAAAGCAACTTCTACAGCTATAGGAAAGCTGGTGACATTTTGTTGTTTCTTTTCTATACCTCCAGATAAATACATGCCCAAGGTGAAAGAATGGCCAAAATTATTTTAAACTAATTAGATTTGAAGTGGGACTGCTTCAGCAGGGGAAGAATGTGTCAGGCTTCTAGCTAAAATACTCTTAATTTTTGAATTCTTCAGTTGTATGAAGGTCTGATTTAATTTTGTAGAACAGAAATAAGTGATACACAACCAAAACAGACAAATGGAAGTAGCATTTATTTCTGAAGCACTGAACTCACAATACAGTGTTGTATTGAAATAGAAACTGTAAGTAACTGATGCTGCAGGTTGGTTAATCCTTCGCCCAGACCCATGGGGAACAATGGTATCACACAAGAATACTCATTAAGAAAAATCTGCAGGTAACAAAAGGTGCAATTACAAGCAAGTTCAAGCAGCATAGTATAAGGTGCTTTGTTTCAACATCTGTATGATGGATTTATCCATTAACAGGCAGATTAAAGAGATTTCACTTCTACAGGATCATAACAAAGGAGAGAATCTAAAATTCATTCACATGCCAGTTGGTAATAGGAAAGTGCTTTTTTTATAAAAGAAGATTCGCAAAGTGAAGATCCTGTTTTTTACATAGTTCACCGTGTGCTCTTCAAATGTAAAATTTCATTTTGGGGTTATAATGTACACTACTATGTATCAATTACAGACATAAAATTTAACTGTAGAATTTAGTGCTCCATGGGCTAAAATTTCCTATAAAAGAATATTCCAGTATATCACTCCGTAAGAATGCCCAATCACATCTCAGTCATGTATTACAGTTTCGCAGTATATCAAAGTCCAGTTGCCATTCTGATTTATTACTTCACCCCACATAGTGCTTCTTTCACCCACAGTCTGTGGTAAATTTCTCTGAGGTTTCAGTGATGTAACTTTAAGCAGTAGAAAATGGGTTGGGTAAAATCTGTTAAAAAGGCCATAGAAGGGATAGTAAATGATCAAAAACTGGATTTTAAAACTAGCACGGTAAGAGGAGGCGATGCTTAGCAACATAGCTCGGAGTGCTTGGCACCACAGATTATTTCATCCTTTATGCTGGAAAATCTATTTGGAGGAAATTCTATGTTAAAAGCAGGAAAGCAGAGACAATGTTAACGTGAAAAAGCAACCTTAAGCAACCGCTTGCCATTCTCTCAAATTGCAGTTGCTGTTATTTAGCACTTGAGATGCTATAGGATAAGCCATGTCTAAACACATTTTTTTTTAACACAGCATTTCTTCAGGTTTTGTATGAACTGGACACCCACTGAAATGGGGTTGACAAAATATTTATAAAACCTAGTTCTATTTAAAAACTGGCAAATACCTCAAATACAGCAATGCACGAGGCACTGCAGATCGTGAAGTAACTAATCCCTACAGACCTGACAGGCAAGGGAAAACTCCTAAAGTTAATTTAACACCAGATGAAGGCAAAGTTACTTTCAAGAACACTTCAGATGCTTCTGTTTTATGTGGTTGGTCTCACTGTTCTGATTCATTAAGGTCTGTGGGTGATGCACTTCTTGCAGCTCCAGCTGGGTAAGGCTGCTGACATACTTTATCAGTGTGGTCCGGCTTATCAACCCCTAATTAAAGTTTACACAACCCCATCTATCTTGCTGTGGCAGAACTCCTATGGCTGCTGCAGTGCTTCTAAAGCCATTTTAAGGTTTTAAAATCTTAGCTTTTACAGGGAAGACGTAACATGCAGCCAAAGCAAACATTAACATAGTGATGTTACAGCACTGTATCACTATCAAATCCATCTTCCATACTCTTGGGGAAGAAGAGCCGAAGAGAAAAGCTTGGCTGTAGTGGCACTGCAGGTCCTCACATAGCATCTAGCTGTGGTGCCTAAGCCTGCTAAGTAACTAATTCAAAATATAATAGCAACTCTTCTTGTAAGCCCACTTTTATCCTTGATTTTTTAATGGAGGGAGATTCTTCCTAATAACTAAGTCTTTTCTCTTTTGTCTGTTTCTGGGAAGTCCTAAGAGTGAACCTGAGTCCAGCCATACAACCACAAACCATTACCCTACAATGGGATCTCAGTTTCATTGCCAGACAGAAAGAGGAGAGAAGCCATGCTAGGAAACAACTACAGACAGCCACTGAGCTATCTCCTTAGTACATTACTTCTTTTGCTGAGCCAGTATCTAATGGCCTTATATGATTCAAACACTTTAGTCTTTAATTCTTATAGGATTATTTGATATTAATGTCAAGAGCAGCTAAAGTATTAACCCTTTGTGAGGAACTTCTGTACTTTCCTCTTATGAAGGATCCCTTAAAAAACCCCCCACACATTAATGAGATATTCTATGTCTCTTCAACCTTAAATAGAAGTATTTGGCACTCATTAATAAATCCTTTCTTTCTTTACACACATCTTTCCTGATCAATACTGGTTTGTTAACACTGTGACACAAACACTACTTAAAAAGGAGGCTGGGTGTGCATAATACCTCGTTGTTATTTCAAACATCCAACTTTGCACAAAGCTGCCAGAGAACAGCAGCATCCTGGCTGCTAGCACTAGCACACTACCCAGGTGGCTGAGGACAATGCACAAGCCTTACCACAGGCTGACTTGGCTTCACCAACAAAGTAGATATGCTTCATGAATCAGTTATATTTGTGCTTTAGCCTAATCCCATAATAGCAGGCATACGTGCTTTGGTACCTATAACCAATACTGTAAGCCTTTTGACAACCCTACAGAACACTACAGTGCTTTTTACACCCAATTGAGATGCTCTAAGTGTTACATGTTACACTTTAATGATACTTATCGCTATGAATGTCCAGTTCTGCTGAAATTATACTTCCTTCTAGATGGAAAAAAATTCCCTTTAGATCTCCTTTTTCTAGCTGCTTATTGTGCACAGTAATTTGGGATAATTCAGCAGGAAGCTTTAACATTTTTTAACTTGAAATCTGTTTATAACACTGACTCCTGGAATTGTGCTTTGGAAAAGTCAGATCAGTGGTTACAAAAGGTAGACTGTGAGCTTACTACATACCTCCTATTTCCTTCTTTTTCCTTCCACATTACTGTAAGTGATCAGTAAATAATACCCACAACTTTCAAGGGAATGAGTGGGCATGTGCAAGTTTCAATGCAGAGGTTACACAAACCTATAGAGTGGCTTTAGGATGGGGCCTTTAATACACGTGGCAGTGCTGAGACAAGTAGAGGACAAAACACTCCAACCAACATAGCTGATACCCATCAAGGCAAAAATCAGTTCAGAAATTAATTCACTACAAGCAAGTACTACACCCGACATTGAAATTACACATTTATAGCTTTGTTCATACCTGTTCTACTTGGCATTCAACAGAAACAGTGTCTTTAAATGAAAGTACTTTAAAATGCTAATTTCTCTTCATCGCTAATAAATTAATATGGGTAAATGTTTAAAAGAAGTATCCTACATAGATTCCTTTGCAGAGTCATTATCTGCAACCTAGAGCAATTGATGAGTAAAAGTCTAGATACAGAGTTGTCACTTAACCAAATACATGCTAACAGGACATTTCTATGCAATACTGCTAAGAAAATAACCCTGCAAGCATTTATACACATGCTTAATTTTGGTATGAGTAGTCTCAATACAATCAGGAGAACTACTCATGATATAAATTATGTGAATGTCTAATTATTTGCAGAACCAGGACTTGCAATACAGCTGTCATTGAATTCTTTGATCACATTTGTCAGTGCATAAGAAATTTCTTAAGCTATTGAGCTGTAAGTTTGTGTATCAGTATTGTGGTATTAAGATGGGAAGTGTCATCTGAAACTGGCAGTAGTTTGAACTGGTATGCCAGGCAGTGACATACTACACCCAGCAACGTCTTACTACATAAAAAAAAAAATTGTCTTATACATGAACATTTCCTTACAGCTAAGATCAAGGTGAAGAAGTTACACAACAGCTGTCATAAACCTGCTTATTCCATTCCTTTCCTCTTCTAACTGCCACACCTGCAGTTAGAATGGACTGTTCCATCTGTTCTACTCAGAAGGCTGGATTCCCACTCGTGATTTGTCCAAAAAGAAGTTGGGGGGGGGGGGGTGCGGAACTGCTTTCAAAGGAAAGAAATGGGAAAATAGATGCTTGCAGGATATAAAATTTCTATCTGGGATATCTCATTGACACAAATCTAGCAAAAGTTTTACCATCCCCATTAACACAGCTTCATTTCTGGAAAAAAAGTATGCTGGATTAACAGGTAAAGGATGGATTTATGATGCAGTCTCCTTGAAAACCCTGAGGATCCAAGACAAATGGCAGTTTAGTTTGGCAAGATGGTTATTTTTTACTCTCAATATAAGCAAAGGTGATAAAAGTCTTATAAATGCGCCAAATGTGAGGCAATGGGGGCTGTCTGGGAGAAGTTATCCATTCACTGGCAATGCTTGTTTTTGAAGCAGCAGCAGCCTGGAGCTCCCAGAGGAGGTGGCCAAGCTTCCCTGTCAGAGTGCTCTGCTTCTGCTGCAAAGCAGGGTTGCTGAGTGATAAAAACTAGATTAAGCAGAGGAGTCTGCATATCCAATTTTGGCCATTCAGGTTCATTTCTTTAAAAACCAAAATAAACTCTGAAGCCAAGACAAGTGTAGTAGTTAAAACTCTCTTGGAAGAGATCCTTACAGTCACATTCCACCTAGTGCTCTGCCAAAGGGTTTTACCCTGAGCTAATTCTGCAGTCTGCATTAAGGAGCTGATTAAGAGGGAGACCAGTGGAGAAAAAGTGAAAAACCAATCACACCTCTCTTTTAAGCTAAGATCCTACAGCATCCTGTAGTCCTTTCTATAGGAATTGAAATATTGCAGGATTAGCATGAGATGTAGCCCACAACAGCAGCAGTCTGAATACAGAAAACAAAACCCCAGGAAATAAAGCTAACAGAAAGGATTTCTTGTAGACACACCCAGCAGAAGCAAGTGTTAAAAAATACT